TAAAAGACAATATGAAAAACCGGATTTAAAAATTTCATTCATATGTGACATGTGAAGTTTCTACTTGAAATTACCTAATTATTTAAAGAATATGTTTTTTTACTAATACAAATTTAAATTATACTAAGTATTTAAAATATCGTATCCATCGCACGTACGATTCTGCTGCTCGAGAGCAAAACTATTTACATCGAAAAATTCACCTCTCTTCTTAGTGCGAGAGCGAAGAAGTGCGCCGCGCGACACTTGTGCAAGTTGAAACTTGCACTGAAAGAAGTGACGTGATTCCCCATTCCTTTCCTGACCAGGGAACGATTAAGGAGACATTTTGCCACCCCGTTCATGTGAAATGGAGCTTGTCACTCATATTTTGATTTTGGTGTTTTGGCCAACTTTTGGCCCTCCCCAGGCCCCACTGTGCGGCCAGGGCTCCATCGCCGCGCCGCACGCCCCCCTTCCACACCACGCGCCGCTCCCTGCCCGCCCACTCGCCGTTAAGACGACGGCCCGTTCAGTTAGTTTTTGATGGAATGTACTGTCATATCAAAACAACGCAACCGCCGAATGATGTGGCTTAGGGCATCAACTAGTGTCGTGGCAGCAACTCTCACCACAGAATCCTAGGGTTCGAGTCCCGACGGTGGCAAGATTTTCGACGCTAGCTAGATTGCTAGGTCGTGTTCAACAGCTGCCTGGAAGAGAATTCTAGCGGCCGGCTGGACTGATCGGTAATTTTCTGTGTTTCTTCTATTTTTGGATTAACACCTGAGGAATGATAGAGCAATTCCTTAACAAGCGGGCCACGGACAACGCGCGATATTTCCTTCCTCTTCTTTGATCTATTTTCACCCCTTACTAACCCATTACACTGACGAGCACTGCACTATCATACATACCGGGAGACTAGTCACAAGCTAAGATCTTGTCTCGACTGGGTTGGTTCGCCACTATTGGGAGACATCTTAATGGAGAAATCCTCGGAAGCCGATATGTAGGTCGGCGTCGGATATCACCAATCATCAGGGTAAGGAAAAGCCTCCTACCATGATAAAAAATCATGCTACACGTATGGAAGTAATGATCATAGTAGTTGCCGCTCCCGAAAACAGAATAGAATCAATCAACATAAAGCAACTAACAGAGAGATGAATAAAACACCACTCTTAACGGTCGGTGTTGGAGGCTGATTGAGGAGACACGTGGACTGTTGATGGCTTGAATGAGCTAGCAGTCAGCATCTTCCACTTTTACCTTAACAGCCTTGATAACAACGCGGAGGACCACGGTGTTTAATGCGTCGCGGAAGCGTTTCCTGTAAATGTCTATATCTACAGAAGGAGTGACTATTGCCTTACAAGAATTCAGAAGGCATGTAGTAATTAATGAGAAAAAAGCATATAATTAATACAAAAAAATATACAATTAATTACAATAATAATTACACTAATATTAAAAAAGTTGAATGAATTTAGCAGCCATCGACATCAACAGTGTTTATTGCATTCTGCATTATGGCATTGTAATAGCCGTAGACATTCACAGGTAAATACTGTGTTGGTTGCGATTGACATTGAAACACTACAATGAATTGGCCATTTGAGTTGAAAACTGAGTTGATTGCACATAGCAAATAATGCGAGTTCAAGTGTAAAATATGACTTGATGCAGTAATGCTGAAACGGAAACATATAAAACATGAACACACATGTTGCAGCGTAGAATTGTAGAGTACGCACGCGCAGGGCACGTGTCATGAAGACTTGTAGAGTGTACGCGCACAAGCCACATGTGATGACCTGCCTGGAATGTAGCCATAGTTGCATGGCATGTACTGTAGCAACCAGCCGCTTGGTTTTACCGTGACTGATGGCTAGTAATTGCAACAGTTGCTTTGAATGCCGCGGAAACAGGCATTGTGGTATACTAGGTGTGTTGTTAGCACAAGTGTTAGATTAGGTTACACGCCAGTTAATAACTGTTCACGGCGGGGGCACATTCACAGTTAATGTCGGCATGAACTCAACACATAGTAAATTACAGTACTTTGTGCATTGTATATACAACACGTGGTTCACTAAACGCATTAATACAACTGATGAGTTGTAATACACATTCAGTTTATTTTGAAATGATCCTTCCTAAAATCATCTATTAATTGAGAATGTTCGATTGTGAAGCAACGTATATGAGACATAGCCCACTGGTTCATGAAGGAAAAATTGGTTACGTGACGTATTATAACTTACATGCACGTGGTGACATCAGCTTCATTTTTAACTGCTTTTGACGTAAATAAATAAAATAAAATCAGCTCAGCTTGAAGTACACAATATAAAAAACACATCACGTATAACATATCACTTCCGCATGATGGCTGGAAAATGATGTATCCATGACTTTAGCACAATGCGTATATACTCATGATGCCCTGAGGCTAATTAAGAAAATGTATGTACTGAGTAGCGTGGGATCGCGTGCACAGCTCGGCGATGTGAACGCCACGAGACTAACGTATTTTTACTGTGGATGTGAGGAGTGACGCGGGGCCGGGTGTACGTGCATCTGGCTTTGGAGAGATCGGGAGCGGCCGCCTAGTTCTTACGCTAGGGTTGTCTAAGGCAGTGCTTGTAGCAAGAGGCGCGTATATTATTTGCAAGAGGCACGGCCAGGAAGTGGCGACGCCTGTGGTCGGCGAGAGAACTAGTTGAACATATATGAGGTACCCCCCCTCGTCAGATTCTCTAGTGTGCAATTGAGTTATGAAATAAAATAGTTGAGTATGTAGTGAGTTCTAACTGCCGGTATGCGTTACATGTTTTAACGTTATTAGGTCGATATAGAGCAAATAATTGGCGCGGATGAAGTTTGTTAATCGAGGCAATAGTCGACTCCTTAATTTGTGATGTCGATCGTGCGTTTTGAATACTTTTCGTAATCCTCTTAAAAGAAAAATTTATAAGAAAAGAAATATTTTTTGGCGCTCAGAAACAATCTGTAGCAACCACTTTTTACTTCCATTGTGCTTAACGAAGACGGGTTATTAAAATACTTAAGGGACAATGACCGTTAAGAGGGCTTATCGATCCTCTCTTTATCTAATAAAGAATAGAGTATTACGAAAAGTCGGACGTGCGTTGAAAACAGATCAAATGAGCTGTTTCAATACATAACGTATGAGTAATTTTTTTTCGAAGAGAAGTTATTTATTTCTGTGATATTTTCTTATAAGAATGTGATATTATGATAAGTCACAAGTTACGGTCTTGACTATCGCCCCGGTGTACAAACATCTCCCCGGACTTTTACTTGTTAAATATCGGCCTTATGATGTTAATAATTATTTTTGTACTCTCGCCTCATTTCTGCTACGTTGATCTAGCGTTAAGTTGGGATTTCTCGGATTGACCGATAACAGCTTTTTTTTAAAAAATTGCATTGAACTAGTCCGGTAAACAGTGCAGTATTACACAGAATGCAGTTTGGTACACCAATGCGGTGTATCGACTCCCTACTTTTAGAATTGGGTTTACTATTAGTAGTAAACCCAATTGTAAATGTTGAAAATGTTTAGTCATTCTAATTTTAATTGTTATCATGTTTGCCACCGAGCATTAGCTCAAAGCGAACTTTAATAAATCTATCTATCTAATGTCAACTCTCATACGGATCTCCCCATTGTTATATTTTCTGAAATCATCACCTTTTGAACATTACCATAATCTACGGCCATTAATTGCGGTGACTAGCCAACCAACGACCAATAAACATTGTCATCCTCTAAATATTTCATTTAATTTAATTTTCTAAACTTGTAAAACGATTAAAAGGTATAAAGAAACATGTTATTTTGTTACTAACGAGTAGCCTAATAATTTTAAAAAACTACACAATATTGCATCTTGTTAATGTTAGAAACTTCCCACCAGTAGTCTGCTTCGCATATATCACATGTTATCTAATATTCCTCATGTCGTACACAACCTACCCTAGCCACTTTGTGTTAGCTGATATGCAAATCGTCCGAATAAATTCCGAAGTGTGTTACAAAAAAGTTTCTTCTGATTTTATCTACCTCTTGAGGTAAAGTAACATTACCCAGACAAATTATTCTCTAATTTGCCGATTCGATCATTAGCAATAACACATTCACAAACTCAACATTTTTGCTGTTTTTCTACAAAACTCTTTTCTCGCACGTATAGCAATTTTACGATGGGCGACATTTTGAGCATGCTGGGCGACACATTTCTGTTTTTAGTGTGAACTGTGGCGCTCACCGGCGCTGGTGGCAGAAGTTGGAAGCAACAGTTGAAGATTTTCTTCTTATTGTATCTGCTTCTATGAGACGTTCCTATCAGTTTTCTCTGAAAACGAATAAAGTATTTATTTTGCCTGATATACTACATTTCTATTTTTCACACGCACTGTTCCCTTTTACAGCTTTGTGAATTTTTTCTTAAAATGATAGATTTCAACCAACACACTGTTTCATTATCGTTGCTATCGTAGAATCTCTAGTTTAATATTCTGCTTTCATTTAGCAATATTTCATATAATGCAGTAGGTATTTTTTGTTATTGAACTCAGCGATAATCCTATCAACATTCCCTCTAATTGATAAAACACTTTACATCAGCTAAATGAGACTTTTTTAATTATGTAATGTCAACCTCTCTAGAATCATTGGGTAAAGTACTGTAGTGTACTGGAGTTGCATTTTTTGGCTATGTGATGTATCTGACACACGATCATTATATCTATGTAGAACGTCACGCATTTACTTATGAATATTTGTTTGAGGCGCTCTTTTCCCGCAAAACTGGTTTAATGATTTCATTTAGCTTGTGATTTTATATCCCTGTGTTGCAATTATATGATACTCATTAATAGCTACCAACGCATGTTTACTTCCTTTCATAAACATGCTAATGAGATGCAGCGTTGTGAGTTTCATGAAATGCGGGTAAAAATTAAAAATATAAATTTATGTACACATACAGAGATACACATAAAGAGAGCTTTACTTCAAAAGAAAAGCGATTATATGATGTAACTTGTTCAAGAGAACAGGTACAGTATCATAATATTAAACGCAACTGGTAATATGATACCTAATTAATCATTTTATTTTTCTTATGCCTTTTGTGAACTCATTTCTATCTTCACATTTTGACGGAAGAGTATTTCTCGGGCATTGATACAGAAGGTTTCACATAAAGAGTGAGTCACTGCCAGTACAGAAGTGTCGGAATGTTCCTAGTACTGACGGAGCCAATGTTTTTGATGTTATTTTGCTGAAAAACTCTTCGTGTCTCCATTCCTGTTTCTCCATCACCTCTTTCGCTCCATAATGTCTAAAATGTTATACTTTACGTGAGTAGGAATCATGCTTTTAAGTATCACACAGGAGAAAATATACTTAGTTTGAATAAAAAAATAATGTAAAACACAAGTTTGTGAATAGTAGTTTCATAACAGTACGATCTGCAAGTGGCCTGACCATAGGGCAGTGCGCTAAACTTGGATACTGAGTTAAAGGAGGCGGCAAAATTTGAAAATATTCAAAACACTGTATGTGACCTTGATCCTCTTAGAATCGCAGCTATCAATTCCGAGTCGAGGGAAGAGTACGAAGAGAAGAGAAGGAAAGGAAGGGGACTGAAAGGTGAGGCGACGTGGTTGGGAGATCTCTATAATCTTAGATGATAATAATGTAGCTCCTCGATCACAATAAGAGGATTCCTCAGTATCCAGAAAACATTGTAATGCTGTTTGTAATTAAATAATTTATATTTGACTATCTTTACTCATCAGAAGCAATTATAAGCCATGTAATCCTTTGTAATTGTGTACTTTTAATCTTTCCCATCAAACATGATGTTTGTTCTTTTGAAAGGCACAGACCAATGATAGCTAATTATTCATATGTCGCATGATATTTGAATTCCATTTCGGTCACGTGTTTTTGACTAATCCTAAACCTGCTGCTCTTCCTCTAGCAGGTTTTGTACTGCAAGTCTATCACATAGTTTAGCCATGTAACAGTCACGCTAATAATTTCAACATATCACTTTTAACTCGGTTTAATGTGAGGTTATTACGTTATGATGCTTTGCCAGGTCGATCTAGTTGCCAACGTTACTTGATGTTAAATAATACTCAACGTTTCCTAACGGGATACTTTCCGGTATGTACTATGAACTGAGGTTTTGCAACTTTTGAATTCGGATACGTACTGGCATTGGTAGAAAGCTTTGTACTTCACCAGTTTGTGATGACATTGAGGGACTAGCGTACGTAGACGATGCCGAGCTCCCGCTGGAGTCGTCGGCTGCCGGCGCATTTGAAATGGCACCCGAGAAGTGAGGAATGCCATGGAAAGTGGTCATGAGTACGTGAGTAAAAATTAATCATTCCCGTTATTAGTTTTATTAGGCTCACGCCAGGGCCCCAGGCTTTCAGCCTTCGTTATTGTGATCAGTGTAAGGCAGCTCCTCCCACGTAATTGTGTATTTGATTCCTTCCATTTCACATGCAACGGACAACCGTAACAGCGTGTCGCCGCGTGTTGTGAATTAATGTAATTGGAATCATAGCACCATTGTTGTTACTGTGACTGAGTTCATGTAACGTTTGTATAAGGACTTATGTTACAAAGGGCCCGTGTCATAGTATTGTTGTCGTGTCAGAGCTCTTGCACCACTGAGTGTAACATTGGGTGGTGGTTATTTGGAGGCCAATACGAGCTGCTGTTAGTGAAGCCTTGATTGTTATTTGCAAATCGGTACAATTCAATGTAAATTCTCTCTTTAAATTACTATGTAAACGTTTGATGGAAGCGTTTGTTGAATGTGTTGTGAAAAGGAAACTGGCAGCCTTTCAAGTGAAATGAATGTTATGAATTGTCGTGGCTTAATCATCATCGTATGCCTCATTGTATTTTATTGATTAAAGAGTTCTCAGCTAGTAGCACACTTGATATGTAGCATACATATATAAATATATCGTCGGTTAATTAGAATTAATGTTGGTGTTCGTTGAGGTAAATGTTATTTCCGAAGATAACATTTGATCCCCTGAATCTTAGCACTTGTGAAATTATGAAAAATTTAGTATATTTAGGTTCCTAACATTGAATATTAAATTATTCTACGATTGCAAAGCAATAAATTACGGTTGCCACGATGAATTACAGTATAGAAAGTGTATAATAACTTGCACTTGGCGCTCTTCCATCTTACTATTATTGTAATTGAAGTTCTTGCAGCTTAGATTTGTTTCGATGGAACAAGTTCCAGCAAACATTCACATCTGATTCATGTTGCGACCCCGAAACTCTTTAAGAAGCAATTGTTGCTTTTTTTCGGAACATCTCTTTGGCATTGAGTATATGCATATGGAGTAATCCTCCGTTAAATTTTGTTTTTTGTTTCATATCATTGCTGCCAGTCAATGCGTTTAGACCCTTTGGCTCAGCGCACTTTGTAACCGAGCTTCCCTGACGGTCATCCATCCAGAAGTACATGGTATCTCGAGCTGCTTATCTTCTAGCTAGCGTAGTTAAGCAATTCTGTTGACGACGATGACGACGACGACCGACAGCGATCAACGACCGTCCTTCAACCGTAAACGTAAGAACGCTAACACCTAAACCATATTATTCATGTTAACAAATACTTACGGTTCATTTGAAGAGAACTGGTGAATTTAAGTTGAACAGATCGATACGGATTTGAGGTGTTACATTTTCTGCTAGGTTGATTTTCTGTTTAAACTTTTTTTTGAAATGAGTATGTGCAAAATATTTGAAATATTACTGCTGCGTTTCGAGATATCGAAGGTCAGAGGACACAAATCTTCCTTTATCTTCATCATTAGTGTGGAATTCAGATAAGATATATTAAAGCTACTGTATCACAGTAGCCTCTGGAGTCGTCTGCGCAAATTAAATAGGCTAGAAAAAAATAACTTGAATAGGTATGTTAGAAAATGAAATAATAATTAAAAATTGCTATCCCTCGCAACTAGTTCCCGATGGTGAACAATTCCTAGGTTTTTTGTTTTGCGAATCGGCCATCATTGCCCCACGCGATACGTGAATCCCACCGGTGCTCAGACTTGATAATCGGGGTAGGTACACTTTACACTTTACTTACACACTTATGTAGGTATTGTAATGGTTTAAAGGTCTTCGGCCTAGCCACATAGGATCAAGTAATCTAATTTGTTTGTAATAATTACCTATTAAATAAAAATAATAAATACTTTTCTATACGGGGGAATCAGCATTTCGAAGCTGATTCCATTTTTATACCCCAGGGTTGTTAGCCCCGGAAGATGGGATGAAATTATAATGATGATGATGAAGAAATTGACATACAAACGTGCAGAGACACACACAACACAACGATGCTCGAGGCGGGACTACTGCCTTAGCGATCTCGCCTATTCTCATCGTCATTATTATTATTATTATTATTATTATTATTATTATTATTATTATTATTATTTTATTGTTATTATTGTTGACATTAGTATTGTTCTTATTGCCAATATTATTTGCGAGTAATGGTTGTCATTCAATAATGTTATATCTTGTTAGTCCCAAAGACTTGACACATGATTCTCCATTAATGTCGACGCACTGAATCTGAATTTGAAGCTAGAATTGCGCCATCACTCTCCAGTTTCTTAAACCACCGTGAAATTTTAAATTGTAAATTACTATTGTCATTGTCGTTGATTGTTCGGATGTTACAAGTTTGATATAACGTTTAACGAAACTTATATAGCGTTAGCATCATTCAGCTATCGCCTTGTAATACAAAAGAGACATCGATTTCATTATGACGTCCATATCAAACACGTATCATTAATAACTACCTCACAACAGTCACCAAATCGAAAAACACTGGGAGTACACTAACTGGCAGCGCGTCGTGGGTCTGTGGTAGCGAGAAAGGGGCTGCCGGAAACAGAGCGGTGAGGCTGCTTGACTAAATCTACTTAGAGGGCCCTGGCTCAAACGCAGCGACTCCTTTCCGCTGCGCCCCGCTGCGCCCCGCTGCGCCCCGCTGCGCCCCGCTGCGCCCCGCTGCGCCCCGCTGCGCCCGTTCGTGCCACCCTCTCCCGCAACTCTCTCTGCCGCCGTCGCCCTTTCGCACTGCCCTCGCCGCCGCCGATGGTTTATCCGATGCGGCGTAAATACGCGTTTACCTTAAAAAGCCGCCCTATCCCGCGCGGCTTTGCACCCTCCCTCCCGGAATCGATAACTCATTAGTAAAAGCTCGCCTGCAAAGGGAGCCTTCGCGACAGTGCAGCGGTGAAACGATGGGGGCGGAAGCGTGGGTAGAGGGGGGAGAGGGGGTGGCAGAGACCCAATCGAGAAAGGAGAGCGGAAGCCATGGCGAAGGAGGAGGCAGCGGTGGTGATAAAGGTGGAGACGGGCAGAGGAAGGTGTGGAAATAGAGACGGAGGCAGGTGCGGGGACGGAGGCGTGGACGACCGCGGGGACGGATGATGGGGACGGGGACGGCGACGAGGACGGCGACGGGGACGTCGACGGGGACGGCGGCGGCTTAGTGTTAAGGGTAGAGGGGAACTGGGATTAGGGAGAGGGTTTGCTGTGTTGGGGCGGCGTAGGTGGGGAATGTGCCGGGGCAAAAAGAGCGGAACGTGCGGGCGGAAGCCGAAAAATTGGCGGAGGCAGAGGCAGGAGCAGGCAGTAGCCGAGAGAGAAGTGGAACTGGCGGCTGGAACTGAAGGCGTTGAGTCGGGGGAATGGTAGAGATGGTGGTTAAGCGTAATAGGGAACGGACGGCAGTGGAGTGAGCAAGCTCGGGTCAGATTAACATCTTAAAGAGCCCGAACAATAAACAGTTAAAGAGCCCTTTCCGATGAGTAAAAATAATAAGCTAACAAAACTTCATGGAAACAATATTTAAAAAGACATTTGCATAAAAATATGCTAACAGATTAGAAAATATTTACAAGGTTATATATTTTAACCTACATAAACACAATTACACTGAATTACGTTGATTTTGCAGGCGATCAGGGGTGATTAGTGCCTTTGTTGGGATAGTCGGGATTTTATTGTTCACTAATACTTTGTACACTTGCCTTCTTTTTCTCGACGCCCAGATATAGCAAAGTCTCTTAATAATGCTTAGTTTGACTATGTACTTAATACTTTACTGAATTAGCGAAATTGAGTGCAGTTATTTTCCGACGGAAATCTATGGGTGTTTTAAAAGATACCGTAATGAAGGAGTGGTATGAAATATTTCGTTCGTATTGATATTGACAATGAAATTTACATTGATATTGATATAAGTTCGTTGTTTACAGGGCCTATTGACGGAATTCCAATCCCATTCCGGGCAAACATATTTGCGAATTGGAAACTTTTTTCGGGGATCAGCTTGTATAAAATATCACGTTACTGTTAAATATAATGTGATAAAGTGTAACTGTTGAGTATTTCTAGGTTATTGAACTTATAGAACATAGATACAAATTTCCACAATTGGGCAAAATATAGCCGATTTGAATTGCTGACCAAGTGGATCATCATGGAGGACTGCAATAAAAGATTTTGTTGGTAAAAAAACAATTGGTTGAATTCTGATCGAGTTGTGAATTGTAGCCTATTTACAGTATTGCGAACATTATCAGTGTACGAAGAGAGTATAACAGTCTGTTTAAGAGTGCGAGGAAATGTTCTAAGACCTAGTAATACACCTTAATCATCATCGTTGACATCATGGATAAAATTTGTTGCAACAAAAAACTATTCATTACAACTCTTCCGGAGAATCATTACATATCCTTTCCCAGTGGGTATAAATGTTAAGATAATTTTACTTATATTTTCTGCCAATCTCCGGAACTGCATTTGTAATTTTCTCGGTATTTTTGACTATCCTGTAAGTGACTAAATAATGAGTACTTTTCGGATATCTACATTTTTCTGTCCAATTATTGAATGTCCTGATACAAAGCGGAGAAATTTCATTTTAAAGATTCTGATGAATTCTCTCCACCGAAGTGGTGTAATTGTCCAGCTCCTGCTCCCATAGTGTCAGTGGCAAAGCAATACCTTTAAAGAGTTTAAGAATTGTTTGGCTTTGCACATTTCGTTCTAAAGTTTGCTACACTGTTTCAAAACATTATGTGAATTTGTTTTCCTCGTCTATTGATTTCATGTAATTAAAATATTATCCAATATATTTGAATTCATTTCTTTCCGATATAATATTTTGTTTATAACAATCTTTCCTTCAGATACAACCCCTTGAAATGTCTTCTCATTGCCAACTCCGAATATTTGTTTTATTTTTGAAACTATCAGTCTTTGACAACTCGAATAATTCGTAAGCTGCTCTCTGAATTTCATTTTCAGTCTTTTCTATGATGAGCTAGTCGTCGGCAAAATGAAAAATTAGATAGTCTATATTTTAGATGTTAAAAAAGATACCATTAAAATTGAAACGGAGTGGTTGGTGAGATGCAACGCCGACCTACACGTTGGTTGAGGGATTTCCCCATCCATGTATCTCCCACCTGGGAGAAATTGCCTCAGACGGGACGAGCTATAAGCTAACTAACTGTGTGACTGGTCTCTAACATGTGTGGTGGTGTAGACCTTGTAAGTGTTCGAGAGTGTAAATAAGGGGAGAAGAAATTACAATGAAGAAGAAGGAAAGATCGTGTGCGTTCCGTTTGTTAGGGTACCGCTCCATCATTCACCTTGTGTTGATCGAAGAAACCACGGAAAACTTACTATCAGAACAACTTGCCGCTAGAATTCTGTTTCGAGCAGCGGCTAAATGCGACTGAGCTATCTAACTAGTTGAATCGCCTGCTACCGTCGGAACTCAAAACTTGTGACCTCCCGGGGAGAGTCACTTCATTGACATCGGTTGATTCTCTGAGCCGCCTCGACCGAACCGCTGCTCTTGTTGAGTCAGCTCGCAAGAGGGGGGGGGAGCGGAACGGGGTGCTCGGGTGCGATCGCTCTTAGTTTCCTCATTTAACTCACTTCGCATGATCTTGAAACGCTCCCTAAGTTTTGCGATTCCGGATGCAATGTCAAGACTCGCATAGGCTGTGGCATCAACTCAAGGATTGATCATCAATTCTCTTGACTGATCCGAGTTATGAGGTTGCAAATAACTCTCCTTCGAGCAATCGCAAAAAAGTGACTGAAGTAGTGGTTTCGTGGCTGCAACATATGGCCGAAGCGAGCGCGTTGGTGTTGGCTCCAGACGCTCCCTTGCTTCCCCGCATAAGAGCGTTCTGGGGCCGGTCGCCGGCACGGCATCGTAATCGAAATTTCAATTTCATAGCTGCGTTAAATACGCATTCTGGAGATAAAATTCAATTTCATTGCTGAGAATCCCAAATTTAATTAGGCGCTGCAGATGGAGGGGAAAGCCGAGGATTTTTCTCCGAATACCAATTAAGGCGCCCGCGAAGCGGGGGGGGAGGAGAGAGTCGAGCAGCCGTTCTCCCCTTCCCTCTAACCCCCCCCCCCCACTCGTTCCCTCTGAGCGTTCTCCTCTTTCCCAGCCGTTTCTAGGTGGAATCGTTAGTTCGCGCCTTTCCGCAAGTAGTTGAACGTTCTTGGCTGTGCCGCTTTTAACAAGAATGAGAAGAAATTTCCTCAGCCTGGAGCTGTAATAAAAAAAAACACTTTTTGGGTTGGTGCATGAATTTTGCCCAATTCGGAATAGCATACACTGTGACACAAAGAAGTACAATAATTATCATCACTCAAAATCGGTTGGACTGAAACTCATATATTTCATTTACTTAAAGATCTTTTAAAGTATACTTTTAAAGTATAACCCTCTAGAATATAATTTGATTAAAAGAAAATAATTGGAATTCAGTTAAAATAATACTCGTTATTTGAAATGTTGGCTTCATATTTCAAATGGAAATGCTGTACAAGCAAATGCGCACTGTTCG